AGTCCGAAACGTCGGGCAAATAAAATATTGGTCCCAGAGAACGCTCTTCCACCTTCTATTTTTCAATATGCCTAGCATCAAAATTCTGTGCTGTCTTTTAGGTTAATACTGGTCAGTCGCAATAAGAATCTTAAGCTCTGTTCTACCCAAGAGAAAATGAGATAGTGTTTTTCAGTGTTGCAATTGTTTTTCGAAGCATAACGAAATTTAGTCTGTTTATGTGTCAATCCATTCCCCACCCCCCTTATATCATTTTCATCTTTAGGAAAATGTCTATCTTGTTTATTTTAACGTATAAAAACGAACTGTACTTCGTTGCGCGATCCCTATGGGTTTTAGGTAAATGCCGGAAATCAAAAAGAAGTCTGTAAGAAGGTCACCTACGGCACAGCACGAAACCTAGGTCTATCCTGTCCGAAATCACAGTACATTACCTTGTTGTCTGTCCGGCATAATTACGTGTCTGGTAGTCCAGGAGTATTCGCTTGGCGTAGCGCATGTGAACCTCGACCACAGCGAAGTCGTTCAGCTTCGCGGGCCTGATGTGGAATAGGGAAATAACTTTTGTCCAAAACAGTTCGGTGACATCCAGCTAAAATTGAAGATAAGTGAAAATTCCACAGCTTCAAATTCGGTTATCATCAAAATAAATAGAGATAAAAAGCTTCCGAGTTCTTTCACTGCCAGGTCTTACTTTTTATAATCTAAAGTATAGAAGTTTTTTGGTGGAACCCTACATTAAGTCTCAGAAATTGTCTCAATAATCTAACGTTTTCGTTACGGAAAAGCGTGCCATAAATGAACACGGAAGTTTACTTACATTTCTTACTTACTTATAATTTATTGGGTGTGAAAATGCGGACATTTTTTACTGACTTATATTTTATAGTTTATTGGGTTTCTTGATATTCCTGAAAAATGGTGGTAAGGAGGTCGTCTACTTCAAATTGTCCGAGGTTTAACTTACTGTTCTGCAGTTAGATTAGTATACTTCGCGGCGCAGAGCGCCCCGTCGCGCACACCTTCAATTTACATGCGCAACAACTTTACTTCAGTTTTCTTTATTTGCTTATTTGACTTATTTATATTTACATTCATTTTTTAGTTCATTATTATGTTTACTAGTTTTACTTTAGTTTTAGATTATTTTAGTTGACTGATTTTAGCTTACTTTAGTTTACGTTTTTAGTTAGTGGATTTAAGTTTTCGTTGTTTAGTTTTTAACTTCGTTATTTCCCAATATTTGCATAATAGCACATTTTAATTCGTGCGCGCTCTTTGGTTGACAAAAGTTAGATTATTTGAATAATGATTCCTGTTTTTATAGTTTTAAAACCTTCATTTTTATTTATATTTCCTTTTCTTTGTATTGCCCAGACTGCATACTTTTTATTTCACTTGGTTCTATATTATAGCAGGATGGGGCTTTCGCATGCTGATCTGGGACCCAAAGTAGGCTTCTACCCGTTTTCAATATGAAACTACTTGGGTTGAGCGGTACGAAACTTTTCTCGTGATGCCCTCTGAGTTATCCACAATTTTTTGTATATACTTTCATACGTAGCTGCTTGTGTGTCCAAAGATCCTGCTACAGACATCCCCTCTGATTTCCCAGTTGATATGTACTTTTAGGAAACCGAGTGACTGACTACTGAAGTACAGTGGTTTCACGTTTAAAAGCAACGGTTGCCATTATGCTTCAAATATCACACAAGAGAATCTTGTCCAGCAAAAGGGGGCCCAAAATCTGAATTTCTTCACTGAAATGCGCACGTGTTTCCCTGAATTGAATCGAGGGCATTTGCCTCTTGTTAAATTTCTTTTTAGACTACTCTAAATACCACTCCGGTAGGGTACAACTTATGCTGGATCGTTGATGAACGTTCACCGATCGCTAACGGAACTCATTCGTTCGCCTTAGGGCTCATTATTGAGCTTCGTTAGCAACCGCACAACGGCCAGTAGTCTAGGCAGATAGCCTTACCAGAAAAGACAATGGAGACGGGAATTGAGAAGTAGAAGACGACTCGATTGCTGGGAAAATATGTTTATTCGCCTGACGTTTCGAAATCCGTCGCGGATATATCAACCGGTGCTTGCGCAAACGAGACGGCCAACAAAAGTCGCACCGACCCCAAAATTTGGCGGGTAATCCCGTACGTCAAAGACGTATCGGAGGCTGCCAGCCGTCTTCTTGCACCACTTGGAATTGGAGTCGCACACAGGCCGAAAGCAACCATGATGCTTCGGATCATGAAACCGAAAGACCCACTGCCACGGCAAGAAACATCTGGAGTCGTCTACAGGATG